ATAGATAGATAGATAGATAGATAGATAGATAGATAGATAGATAGATAGATAGATAGATAATATATTTTTGACACAAAGGTGAATTTCTCAATACTCCCAAATAAATCTAAGATAAATAACACTTTAGAGAAATGATCCTCCTCTGAATGTCATGAGCTGAAAAAAAAAACACACAAGAAAACACAAAAAAGGTCAGAGCGACAGAAGGGTAGGTAAAAAAAAGGGAAGGAGAGGGGGAAGTGTGGAAAAAGACAAAGTGGTAGAGTCATTTAGTGGGCTGGGGGCTTTCAGGGGATTCTACTAATGTTGGAGTCATCCTATAGGGAAAGGAGCCAGGTCATAAATTTCCCATGCAGGGGACAGGTTGGCCCTGCAGTGAATTCTCTCAGCAGGTAGGCTTGTGCGGCTCTCAGACATCCAGCCATGTTAAAAGCATTGTGATCCTAGCAGGAGATCAACATTCCCAGAGAGAAAAAAAAGGAGGAAAGGAAAGGAAAAAAGGAAGCCATCTTGATTGGTTTAGTTAGGGCAAAAATGCACATTATTGCTACACATAAATAATTAAGATTTCAGATGAAAATAAATTTGTTTAAAATTATTTTAAAATGTGATAAATGTYGTTATTATCGTGGGAGTCAAGATTAACTAAAGTAATTCTTTAACTTCCGCCCTGCCTTASAGAAATTATTTTGACCTATGATCTATAGTTGCATTTTGCAGGTTTATGAAAGTCGTTGTTTGTTCAAGAAAATAAAAAAGCTTAAAATTATCAATTTAATAAAAGAGAAAAATAAAGATGACGTTGGAAGTTTACATAAACGTTTGAATTTGTTTTCCCTTTTCTATGGATTGTCCACAGCTAATTTGGTAAAACTACACAGAAAGTTGGCATTGGGCAGTTTCATTTCACACAGGCTTGCGGGTTGTTGCACTAACTCGCCTGTGTGTCAGAATCTCAGGTTGCAGATCTCTCACCGGTCACCTGTCTCACACAGAGAAGCACACAGTTAGGATGGAGGGAGAAGGGAGCACCGACACTGTCCGGGGCTGCTGATAAAGGGCTAAGGTTACATGGCATTTTGCCCCCGCGTCTAACCACTCATCACCACTAAACGCCTTTCATCTCAGCTAATAGCTCCCACGGGAAAGAGCAAAAATAACCGTGTAGGCACTGGGTAATGTAGAGTCCAGAACATATGACGGGTCAAATCCATCCATCCATCCATCCATTTTCTGTACACGCTTCTTCCTTTTCAGGGTTGCGTGGGTCAAATCCGATCCTTGTTATTTTGATGTAGGTGTGTGGAGACTTACAGGTAAAGGGTTAAACTGCTGGTCCACGAGGTGTGTGTATCCATAGTCAAAGAACGAGTGACGCAAAACCACATCAATGCCTTGCACAGCTGCCACACCCAGCGTGTTCATCCACCTGAATTACATGTAAATATTGCAAATATTAGAAAATCATATTATTCCTGTGCAAAAAACAACATTTTATTTAGATTGTTTTTGTTCTGTACTTACAGAAAGCTGGCAGCGTATGTGTCAGAGAGATTATTGATGCCTCCAGTCCATGCTGGACCCAAACCCCCTAGCCACACCTTCTTACCCGGAGCATGTGTGTTCACAACCTGCAATGAGTGATGTAAAATACAGGTGTATAAAAAAAATCAACTGCAGTAAGATCTCAAATTTGAGGTGTTGGAAATCTTATTTGGTACAGATTAATGTTCAGTTATTCTGCAGCTTAGTGGCGAGTAATTAGAGTTGAGAATAATACKCTTCTGTGGCAACATCAGCAACTTGCAATGTTAAAATTCAAAGGGCAAAATGAACATTAGTATGCAAAAGAAGGCAATCTTGGCTTTAAGTGTAAAACTCTGAGTGGTAAAGACTATAAAAGCTGATAATTTATCATTTTATATAAATTAAAATATGAGGATCCACACAGAATAATAGTGTACACATGTACAAACATACAAAAAAAAAAACAGGGGAAGGACGAAAATAAAAGAAAAAAGTTATATTTTCTTCATGTTAGATTTATAAAGCAGATTTATTGTGTTTTTCTCTTTTATAAATCTCAGTCAGGATGACATTATGTCCATGTGTAAATGATTGATATTCACCACATCTTTCATGCAATTCAATTATCGTAATTTAAACACTCCCCTAATTATTCACTGGCATTCAAATGATTTCTCTTCATGCCATAATAACATTAAAGCATGGAAAAATGAAGTTTGATTTTATTGATGGGGTGGGGGGGGGATCAAATACTGCACAAACTGAATATAAAAACAAAAATACCAAATACACAAAAAAAATCATGTGTAAAATACTACTAATTTAGCAAATTTAAAAAAGTTGTAGATATTATTGTAGTTTAAAGAACAACTAATTAAACTGTTTGTCCCAACAATAGACTAAAAACCATGAAATGCAGACTCATTTAAATCTAATAAATGTAGTATTTTCAGTGTGTAAGAATATTCTACTTTTTTATTTGTTCAAACTAAAATCTGACAGATGCACATTTTGAGTCAACTATTTTTCAGAAGAATAAGTGAATATTTATGCTGTACTCTATGTGGAATAAAACGTGTTTTTGGTGGCTGAGATGTAATGCTGGTTTAGGATCCACCTCTTGAAACATTTGACTATTTTAAGTGCTGCTGATGAAAATCGTTGCTCCTTTTCCCCGAGGCTCCTTGATGCTGTTTGTTTTATACAAATCATCAACTTAAGTCCCGGCAGCTTGTGTTGATCTTATTGGAAGATTTAATCCCTTCACTCTGGGGTGTCACTCTTTTGRATTGCAAATTTGGCTGCTTCTTCACATGATGATTTTCGAGCTAGGTACTTCCTAACTTTGCAAAAGAAAAAAAAAGTGTTCCATAATTTAATAGAACTTTTCCTTCTTTATCCTCCCATTCAGGTGAGCTGAAAATCTAAACTTRTGAACATAAAAAAGGTTTCATCTCAAATATTCAAGTAAAATCTGACATGTTCACCGGAAAATAATCTCATTTTAAAATGCAGTCTGTTTCTAAAAACAGCATTTAGAACTGTGATTTACTCAGGGTACAAGCAGAGAAAAAAAAGAAACTTCAGTACCTTGGCAACTTTAGTGATCTGCTCTGTCAATGTGTCCAAAAGATGGGTTTTTAGAAAATCCTCGGCTTTGTTTACTCTACCGTCCATGTAATAACTGTAACAAAGAAGCAGAAAAAAACACTGTGAGAGAAACACTGCACATTTCTAACAATATAAGAAAAACAAAGTTGAATCATTGCATAAATTATAAACAAATAATACACATTTGTTTTAACAGGAAATACAGAGCAGATATCTATTATACCACTTTAATAAAGATTAGGTTTAACACTAAAATACCAAAAAGTAAGCCTAAAATATTTAAACTGTGCCCAAGAAACAACTTTACAAAAGCAGATTGCTTACCACTTTAATTAAAGTGTACAAACTGTAAAGCACAGTGATCTGGAGATGTTATGAACAATATGGCAACTCAATTTACTTTGATAAACAGGCAMTGACATTTTAATCCTTCTTCTGAGCTTTGACGATCCAATTTTATGTCAAAACGATGGATTGCAAAACAGAGAAACTGGAAGTGTGAGACTTTTTAGACGAAGAATGAAAAATGCAGAAACGCATCTGCAACAGTTTTATGTGCAGGAGAGATAAAAACTCTGAGAGAACTACTGAAAATGAGACATGATGTTAAGACAACACCAGGAGACTAAGATTTTGTTGATAAGTAAAGCCAAAGATTTGTAAAAGATCCCCCCGTAGAAAGATCAAAACCTCTCTCCAACATCCGCTGCAAGAGCTGAAGAATGGAAAACAAGAGAGCAACAACAACTCTGTGGTTCATGCTTCAGGTACCATAAAGACACATTAGCATCTAATTTGCACAACAAAGAATAACTAAAGGTGCTTTAGGACCAAACAGTTCTAAGGGCTCTCTGAGGGTTAGAAGAATTATGTCTCTTTTTTGCATCATTGCCACAAAAAGACTGGAACCRTGCCACAGCTAGCCAACAAACACTGTAGCTACACCTATGTAGTCTAAATCACTGTAGCTGTCTATGAAGCTACACTTTGTAAATATCACTGTGGCTATGTCTAGTATACAGTGGGTAAAATAAGTAATGAACACGTCACCAT